ACAGGGGTTTGGTGTACAGATTACTTTGACACCCAATTAATGAGCATAGTAACTGATAAGTAGTTTTTCAGTTCTCACTCTCCTCTCACCCTCCACTTTTAAGTGGGTCCTGATGTCTATTGTTCCCTTTTTAGTGTCCTTATGTACTAAATATTTAGCTACCATTTGTAAGTGAGAGCATCAGCGATTTCATTTTCTGTTCATGTGTTAGTTTGCTTAGGATAATGACCTCCAGCACCCTCCATGCAAAGGGCATTATGTTGCTCTTTTTTATGGCTGCATAGTATTCCACAGTGTATATGTACCATATTTTCTTTATCCAGTCAACAGTTGATGGGCATCTAGGTTGATTCCATGTTTTTGTATTGTGAATAGTGTTATGATGAACATACACATGCATATGCCTTTATGGTAAAATAAACTACATTCTTTTGGGTATATACTCAGTAATGGGATTGCTGGATCCAATGGTAGCTCTGTTCGAAGTTTTTTGAGAAATCTTCAAACTGCTTTCCACAATGGCTGAACTAATTTATATTCTCAACAGCATTGCCTTTTCTCTGCAACATCACCATGTGTTATTATTATTATTAATTTTTACTTTTTAATAATAGCCATTCTGGCTGGTATAAGATAGTATGTCATTGATGTTTTAATTTGTATTTCTTTGATGATTAGTGATGTTGAGCATTTTTTTCATATCCTTGCTGGCCACATGAATGTCTTATTTTGAGAAATGTCTGTTCACGTTCTCTGACCATTTTTTAATGAGATTGCTTGTTTTTTAACTTGTTGATTTGTTTAAGTTCCTTATAGACTCTGGATATTGGGCCTTTATTGGATGCATATTTTGTAAATATTTTCTCACATTTGTAAAAATAAATATGTGGCTTTATTTCTGGATTCCCTAACCTGTTCTGTTGGTCTTTGTATCTGTTTTTGTGTCAGTACCATGCTGTTTTGGTTACTGTAGCCTTGTAGTATAGTTTGAAGTTGGGTAGAGTGATGCCTCTGGCTTTGTTCTTTTTGCTTGGGATTGCCTTGGCTATTTGGGCTCTTTTCTGTTCCATATGAATTTTGGAATAGTTTTTTTTTCTAATTCTGTGAAAAATGTCCTTGGTAGTTTGATAGGAAAAGCATTGAATCTATAAATTGCTTTGGGTAGTATGGCCATTTTAACAATAATGATTCTTCCTACCATGAGCGTGAAATGTTTTTCCATTTGTGTTGTCTCTGATTTCTTTCAGCAGTGTTTTGTAATTCAAGTTGTAAAGGTCCTTCACCTCCCTGGTTAGCTGGATTTCTACATATATTATGTTTTTTTGTATGTTGATTTGACTCTCAGCTTGGATGTTATTGATGTATAAAAATACTACTGATTTTTGTACATTGATTTTGTATCCTAAAACTTTAAGTTGTTTATGAGACCTAGGAAGTTTTGGACAGAAAACATGGAGTTTCCTTAGGTATAGAATCATACAGTCTGTGAAGAGAAGATAGTTTGACTTCTCTTCCTATTGGAGCCTTTTATTGCTTTCTCTTTCCTAATAGCTCTGGCTGGGACTTCCAGTACTATGTTGAATAGAAATGGTGAGAGTGGGCATCCTTGTTTTGTTACAGTTCTCAAGGGGAATGCTTCCAGCTTTCGCCCATTCAGTATGATGTTGACTGTGGGTTTGTTACAGATGGCTCTTATTATTTTGAGGTATGTTCCTTCGATACTTATTTATTGAGGGCTTTTAACATAAAGGGATGTTGAATTTTACTGAGAGTCTTTTCTGCATCTGTTGAAATAATCATGTTTTTTTTGTTTCTAGTTGGTTATGTGATTAATCACATTTTTAAAAATTTGCATCTGTTGAACCAACTTTGCGTCCCAGGAATAAAGCCTACTTGAATGTGGTGGATTAGCTTTTTGATGTGCTGCTGGATTCATATTTTGCTTATATTTTGTTGAGGATTTTTACATTCATGTTTATCAGGGATATTGGCCTGAAGTTTTCTTTTTTCATTGTGTCTCTACTAGATTTTGGTATCAAAATAATGCTGGCATCACAGAATGAATTAGGGAGGAGTCCCTCCTCCTCTATTTTTTGGAATAGTTTCAGTAGTATTGGTACTACTGAATTTCTTTATATGTCTGATAGAATTCAGCTATGAATCTCTCTGGTCCAGGACTTTTTGGGTTGGTGTTTTTTTAAATTACTGATTCAATTTTGAAACTTATTATTGGTATGTTCAAGTTTTCAATTTCTTTCAGACTCAATTCCAGGAATTTAATCATTTCCTCTAGGTTTTCTAGTTTGTGTACATAGAGGTGTTCATAATAGTCTTTGAGGATTTTTTTGTATTTCTTTGGGATTAGTAGTAATGTCCCCTTTGTCATTTCTGATTGTGTTTATTTGAATCTTTTTACTTTCTTTGTCTAGCTAGCAGTATACCAATCTTATTTATTGTTTTAACGAACAAGCTTTTGGTATCTTTGATATTTTATATGGTTTTTCTCATCTACGTTTCATTCAGGTCAGTTCTGATTTGGGTTATTTATTTTCCTCTGTTACCTTTGTTGTCAGTTTGCCCTTGCTTTTCTGTTCCCTTAGGTGTGATTTAGTTTGTTAATTTGAGATATTTCTAACTTTTACATGTAGTCATTTAGCACTGTAAACTTTCCTCTTAATACTGTTTAGCTGTGTCCCAGAGATTCTGGTATGTTGTATCTGTGTTTTCGTTAGTCTCAAAAAATGTCTTGATTTTTGCCTTAATTTTATTGTTTACCCAAATTCAGGAGTAGATTGTTTAATTTCCATGTAATTGTGTGGTTTTGAGAGATCTTCTTGGTATTGATTTCTATTTTTACCGCACTGTGTCTGACCATGTAGTTGGGATGATTTCATTTATTTTGAATTTGTTGAGAATTGCTTTGTGGCTTAGTGTGTGATTGATTATACAGTATATGCCATGGGCAACCGAGAAAAATGTATATTCTATTGTTGTTCTGTTAGGTCTGTTTGGCCAAGTGTCGAGTTTTAGGTCCTGAATAACTTTGTGAATTTTCTGCTTCTATAATCTATCTAATACTGTCAGTGGGGCGTTGACGTCTCCCACTGTTATTGTGTGGATATCGAATTGTCTTTTAGGTCTCTAACAAAATGTTTTTTTTTAATTGGGTGCTCCAGTGTTGGTTGCATATATATTTAAGACAGTTAAATCTTCTCGTTGAATTGAACTCTTTATTATTATGTAATGCTCTTCTTTGTGTTTCATGATCATTGTTGGTTTAAAGACTGTTTTATCTGAAAGAATAGCAACCTCTGCCCCTTTTTTTGTTTTCATTTGCTTTATAGATTTTTCTTCATGCTGAATCAGAGGCTACTTTCTGTAAGAGTCACTCTAAACTGACTGTGACTAGGTGCTTATTCTGCTACCATTTCCCACTGTATTCAAATAACTCACCCTTGGTCCTAGAATTATCTACAAGTGTCCAGAATCACTGGATACAAAACAAGGAAGGACAGATAAGCACAAGATGCTCAATGACTGATGGGCTGACTTCTCCCAAGAGAAAGTCCCAGGAGAAACAGACCTGAGCACTGAGTCAGGATCCTGCTATAAAAATGATTTGTGTGGCCGGGCGCAGAGGCTCACGCCTGTAATCCCAGCACTTTGGGAGGCCAAGGCAGGTGGATCACGAGGTCAGGAGATTGAGATGACCCTGGCTAACATGGTGAAACCCCGTCTCTACTAAAAATACAAAAAAATTAACCAGGTGTGGTGGCAGGCACCTCTTCCCAGATACTCGGGGGGAGGCTGAGGCAGGAGAATGGCATGAACCCGAGAGGCGGAGCTTGCAGTGAGCCCAGACTGCGCCACTGCACTCCAGCCTGGGCGACTGAGCGAGACTCTATCTCGAAAAAAAAAAAAAAAAAAAGAAAAAGAAAGAAAGAAAGAAAAAAAAAGGTTTGTGTTGTAAAAGAACATCCATTTGTATCCTATCATCAACCTCAGCTTTATCCTCATGTCTCAAGATCAAATTTTATCCATTCCTTTCTTTCTTCCATCAGCATGTTCTCTTCACCTCTTAGGGCCATTTTAAAACTAACTCTGTAAGTGTGAAACCGAATATTTCTTTTCATTGTCTTTTCAGATACCAAGTTTTACTCTTTGGAGTCAGAGTTCTGGTTGCTCCTTCAAAGTAGGTGACTCCTGTCTACAAGTGTGCTGATCCTCAGAGTACACATGGGAGAGAGGGAGAGGAAAAATGTGAAAAACCCAGATAAATATTTCAATGTATCATCAAGCCATGTGTCCTTTCTTGGTTCAGCATTGAAATGTACAGAAACATACTTCTTATTTCAGGGACTCCATTTCTATCCCATCTCACCTGAAAAGGTAGCAACTACAATTCTGTGCCATATATTTGCTCCCCTGGAATACTAATTCCCACTTGCTTCACAGACACATCACCAAGTACCAGCAAGATTCCATAATTCCTATGAGTCCATAACGGTAAAGTGCCTCCTTTTCCTTTCCAAATGAGAATTTTCACTATGGTTATTTCTCGCCTCCCCCCTATTGGCTGTTTGAAACATAATTTATCTTTTTAGTTCCTGGGTCCCTGACCTCGACAAACCACAGCAGGACTTGGTGGAGAAGACCGAGTGTAATTCTGAAATCCTGAACTTTGAGCTGGATTCAATACATAGGTGAATTTTGGATTGTCTCCTCTAGGGAGAGTGTGTTCAACATTTAAAAGGAAGGGTAAAGTGGATATTTGATAAACACAAGGGCTAACGTGGCAGAGGGAAATGCTGTGATTGCATCAAACCCTGTTTTCCCTTGGGCACACAGCTGCCCTACATTTACCATCCATAGCTGCAGTTAGTTGTGGTCACGCGACTGAATTCCAGCTAATATAGGTAGAAATAAAGTACTCCACTCCCAAATACAGTTTATAAAAATCTCTGACATAATCCTCCACCCTCTTTTACTTTCTCTGACAGGTGAACGGCATGGATTCTGAGAACCAGGAGGAGAGCCAAGTCGTAAAAGGATTGGTGCCCAAGTGAGTCCTTGAATAGCTCATGGAACAGAACTTCTCAGTCTTCACTCCCCATTATCCATACTGAAGTGTACATGGTTAATTAATGTATAACTAAGCCACTGAGATTCGGGAGTTTCTTTGATTGCAGCTGGTGTTTAATTTCTGAATAACTAAGAAGGAATACATTTTTGAGGGCATGGTATTTGATCTGCAACCACCCATGGTTTTAGAGAAGAAGCAACTCATGTGGGAGTATGTGGGAACCAATTATTCCAGTTAGACAAACAACGTACCCAAAGCCCAAAGTCTGGGAGAATGTGTTTAAGAAACAAACACACAACAATGACAAAAAAATAATATACCTGGTTTCTAGTGAATGGAGGGGAGAGTGGTAGGAAATGAAGTTTATAAGAGGAATGTGGAGACCAGATCCCATAGGACTGTATAGACAGTGAAGAAGAGTTCACATTTCATTAAAATTGTGATGGAACCTCATTGGAACATTTTAAGTAGAGAAAATCCATGATCTTACTATGATACACATGTTTTTTTAAAAGATTAATTGAGTTACTCTTTGGAGAAAGAATTTTAAGGATACGGAGAGGATGACAAGGGACCAGTTAGGAGATAATAATCTTCCAGGCAAGACATGTTAGTGACTTAAACAAGATTATTATAATGGAAAGAGGAAAAATTGATACATCCCACTGAAACATTCAATTAATCAGGTCTAAAAATAATACGGACTATACATTCATGTAATAATTATATTAAGATATGTTGTGATTCACTTAAGATGATGGCAAAAATATTAAAGGGGAATATTAGGAAAAGTTATAGGAAATAATCACAAACCTTTTGAAAGGCCAAAAGATTACATAACTTGTCGCAATTGAACAGGCTAAAGGCAGCCGGTTCTTACTTTAGAGCATTAAGTCACAGGGTAAATACTAGGAACAATAGGGGATTCCCCAGTTAAGTGTGTTTAGGGTACCTCCATTAACTAATCTTTAAGCCAAATGGCCCTCTGTCGGGGGGTGGGGGGGTGGGGGGAGCGTGGGGGGTTGGGGTACCTGGCGGGGTGGGGGTGGGGGGAATGGGGGGGAGGTCAACCAGAGAAATTGCCCCCTAATGGTATTTACTTTAAACCATGGTACCTAAGCTCGTAAAACTACTCTCTTAACCATGTTAATTATCCTCCAGTGTGTTTACTCAAAGCTTCTGTTGTTAATTGTATACTAAATAAATGCCTGAAGTGCAAGCTGCTCCGGACCAGCAGCAGTGACAAACCTCTCTTGGTGTGCAGGCAGTTGGACACTCAGCTGGACTGGCAAAACAAAATATCTGTATGGAAATGTACATTTTATTCATCCGTCGTTTGAGTCAGGGTGTGCGGGCAAAATTCCGCAGCTAATGCCCTCTGCTAAGACGCCACAGCTCCACCGGGCCCCCGTGTAAGGCGCAGAACCACAAAGATACAGTACAATGGTTACGTTAACAAAACATATGGGTCATGAATTCTGTTATGTTCAGGACAGTTATAGACAGTCTGCAGGGAGGCCTAGTTTTAGCTTTTGTAGACTTAGTATCAATGTAGTGAAGCCTGTAAAAGTTGTTCACAGTAGTAAATACAAAAAGCTGTTGTTTGATGTAGTGGCCACTAGATGGCCCGATAAACTCTACTTCACAGACCTTGGAGCTAGAGACAAGTGACTGCAGTTTGTTGCTGAAGACTATATAGTATAAAAAGTCTTTGTTGTTGTTATTGTGAATGGAAAATAATTATCGACATTATACAAATTAAACAGGTTCATATCGAAGAGGCTCTGCTATAGAGTCCTACAAAATGGAATTAAATAAAATTTCTCTGATCTAGAAAAACACTCATTTTAGAATGAAAAATAGTGATATGCATGTGTGCAAAATGTGTAATCTTACTCTCGGGCTTCAGTTTCGTGATTTTAGATCACTTCCCTCTTTTTTGTGAGAAAAGACAGCTCCTAGACACTCATATTTCAAACTGTGTAAATACTGAATAATAAAATGAAGAAAAGAGTCTAAAACAAGGACTCGCTGTGCACTGTTCACAGGTTCTGGAACATGTTTTATAAGGTATTCTTTTGCTTACTGATGAACTTGGTTATTTGTGTTTATTTGTTGAATTGTAAGAGTTCTTTGTGTATTTGGGTGCAAGTCCTTTATCAGATACGTGATGTGCAAATATATACTCCAAGGCTGAAGCTTGTCTCTTCATTCCCTCAAGAGTTAATTTCACAGATGGAAAAAACAATTTTAATAAAGTCCAATTTATCAATTTTTTATGGGTTGTGTTTTTTATAGTATCTAAAAATTCATCAACAAACTCAAAGCCATGCAAATTTCTCCCGTTTTCCTCTAAGAGTTTTATCCGTTTGCATTTTATATTTAGTTCTATAATCCACTTTGAGTCACTTTTTGTGTAAGATGTGAGATCTGTGTGAAAGTTCACTTTTTGAATATGGACATCCGATTTTTCCACCATCATTTGTTAAAAAAGTATTCTCTTTTTTTTCTTTTTTATATGGAGTCTTGCTCCATCGCCCAGGCTGGAGTGCAGTGGCGCGATCTTGGCTCACTGCAAAATCCGCCTCCCGGGTTCACGCCATTCTTCTGCCTCAGCCTCCCGAATAGCTGGGACTACAGGCACCGCCACCACGCCCGGCTAATTTTTTGTATTTTTAGTAGAGAGGGGGTTTCACCATGTTAGCCAGGATGGTCTCGATCTCCTGACCTCGTGATCCACCCGCCTCTGCCTCCCAAAGTGCTGGGATTACAGGCATGAGCCACCGCGCCTGGCAAAAAAGTATTATTTCACCACTGAATTGCCTTTGCACCTTTGCCACAAATCCATTGACAGTATTTGTGTTCATTCATTTATGGGTTTTCTATTGTACTCCATTGATCTATGTGGCTACTCTTTCACCAGCGTCACGCTGTCTTGATTGTAGAGGGAAAGCATTCTTTCTCTAATCATTTAGAATAAAGTTAACTGCGCATTTTTCATATAAACACTTTATTAGGTTAAGGAAGATCCCTGCTATTTCTGGTTTTCAAGTCTGTATATCGTGAATGGGTGTTGAATTTTGTTGAGTGGAGTGTATCTTCTACATCTATTGACATGATCATATGTTTTCTTATTTATACTGTTAATAGGATGAATTATATACATCAGTATTTATAAATGTTGAATCAGCCTTGCCTTCCGGGAATGAACCCCATTTGGTCACATTATATTTTTCCTCATATGTATCGCTGGATTTGATTTGTTAAAATATGTTAAGGAGATTTGTGTCTCAATTAATCAGAGGTATTGCTCCACAGTCTCCTTTTTCGGTAATGTCTTTATATGGTTTTGGTTAATGCTAGCTTTATAAATGAATCAGGTAGTGTTCATATGAATATGCTAGCTTCATAAAATGAGTTAAGTAGTATTCCAACCTCATACTTTCCAGAAAAAAAAAAAGTGTTAATTTGTACTAGTTCTTTTTAAAAACTTGGTAGAGGCTGGGCGCAGTGGCTCATGCCTGTAATCCCAGCACTTTGGGAGGCCAAGGCAGGAGGATCACGAGGTCAGGAGATCGAGACCATCCTGGCTAACATGGTGAAACCTCGTCTCTACTAAAAATACAGAAAAAATTAGCCGGGCGTGGTGGCGGGTGCCTGCAGTCCCAGCTACTCGGGAGGCTGAGGCAGGAGAATGGCGTGAACCTGGGAGGCGGAGCTTGCAGTGAGCCGAGATCACACCACTGCACTCCAGCCTGGGCGACAGAGCGAGACTCCGTCTCAACAACAACAGCAACAAAAATATTGGTAGAATTCATCTGGGCCTGGTGTTTTAGGAAGACATTTCTCCTTGAGTGAGTTTTGGTAGTTGGTCTCTTTCAAAGAATGGCCTCATTTCATCCAGGTCATCAAGTTTATGACACAAGAAGGCTGGAGTGGCGCTGGACTGGGTGCACTTCCCTCCCCCAAGATGGGATGAGATTTCGGTATTCCTGTCTAAAGCTTGCTCTCAGGGCTTCCTCTAGCCTAAGGTGCCCAGTGGCTTCTGTTCTGTATCTTACATCCTGTATCTCCCTGGAGTAACCTTCTCCCTGGATTTCAGGGTGGCAGGTTGCCCCGTAACCTTAGTTCCCTGATGGGTTCAAAAAAAAACTCATTAAATTTCTATTCAACCATATTTTTCTTCATTTGAAGACAGAAATGATACTTTCATGCCCTTTATATGTCAGATTAAATAAGTTGATTTTTTAATTAATACGATAGGGATGCATAAAACCCGAATTGAAAATGTGAGATATTGCTAAGAAGCCTTTCACGAGACCTTGGTTTCAGACAGGATATTTCACCATACCATCTTCTGAAAAGATCAGGGAGTTAGCAGCGTCACTATGTGACTATGAGTTTCCTTATAGCATTTCTTTGTACTTCCCGGTTATCAGAAGCCTCACAATCAAAGCTTGCAGACTTTAGTACAGCAGTGGAGTTGCAGAAGTGTTCTCTCAGGATTCAACATGAGCAGTGACGATGGACCATGTCTCTGACAAACTTTATCTTTCTAGGCCTCAGCACACACCCCTAGGAAGGGCACCCTGGGATCTGGTGGCTCCTACTTGCCTAGAGCCCAGGAGTTTGTTTCAGTCAGCACTATACTCTGTACACACCTTCCAGGCTTAGGAATGCAACTAGCACTAGCTACCCTTTCATAAAACATCACATAAACCTTTCAGGAAATTCTACAATCCAGATCTGATTCGTTTTGGCACCTGTTTCGTAGAATCAGTCCATACAAACTCTGTAAAGACAAGTGGCTCACCTGCTTTTTCAGAATTATTTAAATGCATCCAAAGATTTCCCCCCCATACCTTGAAATAGCTGTCTCCAGTATCAGACAAAATCGGGTGCTTTTAAGGTGGTACGGCCGTAGGCTAAAACAATTTTAACAAAAACAAAAATCGACAACTGGGATATAATTAAACAAAAGAGCTTCTGCATAGGAAAAGAAACTGTGAACAGAATAAACAGACAAATTACAGCCTCCAGAATGGGGGAGAATATTCACAAACTATACATCTGACAGAGGTCTAATATTCAGAATCTATACAAATCTTGATTTTAGACAGTTTATTTCAGACAGTTTATTTCAGACAGTTGTTGTTGAATTGAGCTTAAATAACTCAAAAAGCAACAAACAATGCCATTACAAAGTGGGCAAAGGTCATGAATAGACAATTCTCAAAGGAAGACGTATGAAAAAATGCTCAACATCACTAATCATCAGAAAAATGCAACTCAAAACCACAATGAGATTCCATCTCAAAGCCGTCAGAATGGCTACTATTAGGTTGGTCCAAAAGTAATTGTGGGTTTTGTTATTACTTTCAATGGTAAAAACCATATTAAAAAGTCAAAAAATAAACGATGCTGGAGAAGTTGTGGAGAATAGGGAACACGTATACACTACTAGTGGGAATGGAAATTAGTTCTGTCACCGTGGAAAGCAGTTTGGAGATTTCTCAAAGAACTTAAAACAGAGTTACCATTCCATCCAGAAATCTCATTACTGCGTGTATACCCAAAGGAAAATATATCATCTACCAGAAAGACACACGTACTTGTATGTTCGTCACAGCACTATTCACAACAGCAAAGACATGGAGACAACCTAGATGCCCATTAATGGTGGACTGGATAAAGAAAATAAAGTACATATAACCATGGGATACCATGCAATCATAAAAAGAACAAAATCTTGTCCTTTACAACAACATGGATGGAGCTGGAGACCATTATCCTAAGTGAACTAATGCAGGAATAACCAACCAAACACCTTCTAAGTGGGAGCTAAACACTGAGTGTGCATGGACATATGATGGGAACAATGGACACTGGTGATGACTAGAGGGGGAGAGAAGGAGCAAGGGTTAATACACTACCTTTTGGGTGCTGTGCTCACTACATTCATGACAGGATCATCCATACCCCAAACCTCGGTATC